CCTCGCAGGGCCCCCTCTTGCCCCTAAGCAGCAGGTGCACTGACCCGGCTGTGGGCCAGCCCATCCTCCTCCTCCTTTTTTCTCCTGTCTGAGTCCCTGCTCTGTCATTCCCACTGGTGGCCTCGTGGGTGCCCGTCCAGTTCTCCCGCTGCAGTGCCCTGGTGGCAGAGGCCAGGAGCCAGCTGAACCAGCCAGGCCCACGTGCTCAGCACAGGCCCAGCTTCTGACTGGAAAATTAGGCCTGTGGAGAGGAGGTCAGGGCCCAGTGGGGGCGGGAGCTCAGGCCGAGCTGGGGCCTCTGCTGCCAGCGTGGGAAGAGCAGCAGAAAGAGCTGCCTTCTGGGATGGCCGGGGGCCCTAGAGGGGATGTCTGAGGGGAACCCAGCTTCTATGCGCTGACCAGGAATGGGTCAGGAATCCGAGCCACAGGCGCACGCTGGCCCCGGGAACCATGGGGCCGGCGGAAGTGACACCTGGCCTCTCTGGGGGTTCCCGGGACCGGGATCCTCTGTCCTAATGGGCATGCCTCAAAGCTGTGACGCTGGCTGGACAGTGTGGCAGATCCCCCAGACTCCTCTCCCGGTTGGCAGGGATGGAGGAGGTGCAGAGGGCAGGGAAGTGGGTCACCCCAGAACCCAGGTGGGCCAGCAGTGCCCTCACGTGTCTGTGCACGTGTTCGGGATGGGTGATTTGTGTTTACTTTAACACCCCCAGGGCAGCCGGGGAAGGGCAGATGTGACCTCTCCCCCCTCCCCATGGCTCCCGTCACACATCAGTATGGTCCGCAGACAGGAGTGCAGTTGTCCACATTTGACGGAGACTGGTTTCGCAGAACTTTCACTACGAGATTTGGCTGCAAGTGCTCTAGTTCCATGACTGTTGTTGTCAACCCCTTTATTGTGCCTAACTTATAAATGAAATGATTATGGGTGTGGGTGTGGGTTTGCATGTGTAGGAAAAATCAAGAGCTGTAGGGCCTGGTCCAGGGACCCACCAGGGGGATAGGGCGGGAGGGACTCTGCAGAGGAACAGCCAGGAGCAGAGGAAACCAGCTCTTCGAGACTTTAGGCTAATTTATCTGTTTATCTTTATTTGAAAGGCAGGTGTGACAGAGACAGAGAGAGATGGAGCTCCTCCACCCGTTGGTTCATTGCTCTTGCACCTGCGCCAGCCAGGGCAGGGCCAGGCCAACCCCGGAGCCAGGGACTCCATCAGGGGCTCCTGTCTGGGTGCCAGGGACTCAAGGACCTGGACTGGTTCCATCTGCTGCTTCCCAGGAGACTGAATCACTAACAGCACGCAAGACCAGAACTGGCTCCTATGACGGGAGCTGCATGTTCAGGCCGGAAGCTGCACACTCTTGAGTCCCGCTCCTGCCCTGGAAGCCGCAAGGTCTCCTGGCTGGACAGGCGGCTCCCTTGCACCCCACCCCCCCTTGCACTGGGAGCTCACACCTAACCTGCTGTCCCCTATTCTGGTCCTGCAGCCCTGGGTAGGTGGGTGGGTGGGCACTGAGCTGAGGCTGGGACCAGCAGATGCCCAAGGGAGGGCACATTGGCTTCAGACACGAAGGTGACAGCCCAGGTGACTGCCCTGCCCTGGCAGGCGGGGCAAGGGTCACCATGTCCCCATCACTCCTGCCAACAAACTGACCACTGTCAGCTTGCACCTTCTTTTGCCCCTACCTCCCTGAGCAGTGCCCAGGGCTGGTCCCCTCTCGCTGGGCAAGCCACAGCCCATGCCATTGTGGGCCCCGTCCGGTCTTTCATGCCCTTGGGTCTGCCTCAGCCTGGGAGTCGAGCAGTTTCCGTGGAAATGGGGCCTGGAGACACACAGTCTTCAGTGGACAGGGCCTGTGGGACTCTGGCCTCACTTTGTTTTCTAGAGGAAGAAACCGAGGCTGTGTGGCCTGGGGTCCCATGGGGGCGATGGGCGGTGGAGGTGGGGGAGGCAGCTGGCCCTGGAAACAGCTCAATGGCCTTTCGCATCTTGGTGGTGGCCACCACACTTCAGAGCTCTGTTGGCATGGGGCGGAGGCAGCCCTGGGCCCCAGTAACTGACACGGTGAACTGCCTGTCTGCTAAGCCTTGAAATTGTTTTATAACTGAGGTCACTCCGATTGTAAAAGTAATATATGCTTACGGGAAAAAGAGACGACAAATGCCTCCAGAGAATAAGCCTAAACAATGCCTGCAGTCGGCTATGAATGCACCTTTTTCTTTTATTTCTTTTTCAGTATTTGTTTATTTTTACTTGAAAGCCAGAGTCTCAGAAAGAGAGAGGGAGATCTTCTATCTGCTGGTTCATTCCTCAAATGACCACAACAGTCAGTCTGAAGCCAGGAGCCAGGAGCTTCTTCTGGGTCTCCCACATGGGTGCAGGGTCCCACAGCTTTGGGCCATCCTCCACTAGTTTCTCAGACCACAAGCAGGGAGCTAGATGGGAAGTAGAAAAGCCGGGTCACAAACTGGCACCTATATGGCATGCCAGTGCGTGCAGGCAAAGGATTAGCCAATTGAGCCACGACCCCAGCCCCATCACTTCAATTTGGGGGATGGCAGTCAGACCCCTTGTCCCCCCTGCTGCCTGTGGGCAGTTTGAAGCTACCTGGAAAAAGTCCTGTCCACCCTGTCACCTGCCCTGGAGCCTCCAAGGTCCTTTTCTATCTGGAATCTGCCTCGTCCAGGAAGCATCTTCCTTCTTTCCCCGCTCCTCCTTCCTTACATTTTTTATTTGAAAGGCAAGGTTACAGAGGAGAGACAAAGGTTCTTCAACCTCTGGGTCACTCCCCAAATGGCTGCAATGGCAGGAGCTGGGCTGGTCTGAAACCAGAAGCTTCTTCTGGGTCTCCCACATGGGTGCAGGGGCCCAAGGCACTTGAACCATCCTCCACTGCTTTTCCAGGCACATTATCATGGAGCTGGGTGGGAAGCGGAGCAGCCAGGACATGAACCAGCACCCGTGTGGGATGCAGGCAATGCAGGTGGGGGTTCATCGTACTATACTACAGCACTGTTCCCATGAAAGCATTATTCCTTTCAAATGAAAGATTCCTTTTGGGGTTCCCTGGGCTTGGAGTCTGACCAGGTCGTTGCCATGGCCATGGGATGAGCTGGCCCTTTGTGTGCTCCTTGATCCCTGCCCCGAGCACTGGGGTACTCACCCTCGAATCTGGAGACCTTTTGGGGTCCTGCAAATGTGACCACTGAGCCACTTACTAACACCATAGAAGTCTTAACCTGGGAGAGAGAGCAGAGGCTGAGGGATCACTGGGGACCCACTAACCTAACATAGCCCCTGTACCCTGAAAGCCATCCCTTCTGCTGCAGGCCCCACTCCGGGCTGGGCCCTGTTTGCCTTTGGGAATGTGGGCTATCGCTGTTGTTCCACCACCTCTCCAGGTGCTGCCTCCCAGCCAGTTGCTCTAGGAAATACAGCAGGGGTCGGGGCGCTCTTCATGAGGAACCCCAGAACCCAGTCATGGTCCCCTGCCCCAGCCTGTTGCCTCTCGGGACAGAATGCCATAAGCCAGGCCCAGTTGTCCTGTCACCTGCTATGCCTCTCCTCGTCCAGCTGGCCGAGCGAGATGGAAGAACACTCAGCTTGGACTTGGGGATCAAGGTCCCCCCTGTGATGCGGCGCATGTGATGGGAAAGCCCACTTAGCCTGGTTGGGAACCCTTGCAGTGCCCAGTGGAGGGCCCCCCTGGCTAATGTGTGGACAGTGTGGGCGGCCCCTGGGCCCAGCGTGCAGCTGCTTCCCAGCAACCCCACCAGGGAGTTGTGATGTTTTGGGACACCTGAAGTGTGGAGGAGGGTGGGGGCATCAGTCGTCCCTGCCTTGGGGATGGCTGTTGTGGTCAGTGAATCTCAGGAGAGCATTTCTGATTGCGCCAGGCCATGTCATCACAAATGGTTGGGCAGGGCGCCGGCCACATTGTCATGCCAAGGGAAGGGTGGACGGCCAGGCAAGGACTCCACGCTTTAGGTGGAGCCTGTGGCGGGGGGGGGGGGGGGGACACGGCCAGGAAGACAAAATGATCAGACACAGGAAGCCTTGGTTCTCGGACTTTAATAGCCGAGGGGGCGGCAGGGTGGGGTGAGTGGTTATAAAATTAAGACGAAAGAGCCTCCTGGCTGCCTCAGATGACAATGAACCCAGGGATACAGACATGTAAACACAGAGCTTCTTCCGGGTCAGCCGGCTTCACGGACGATGCCTTCAGAGCACAGCAGCCCCCTGGGAATGTGGCTGGCAGTGGGCCGGCCCCAAAGCTTCGTCCCGGATGGGGACTCAGTATTCCCTGGAGGTACAGGAGCCAGCGGCAAAGGGCTGGGTGGCGGCCTGTCAGAGCCAAGGCACAGAGGGGGTGTGAAGAGTGTCTGGATAAATAGAAGTGCGGGGGGATGAAGAAAAGCCAGCTCCATCCCTCTCTTAAAAACAGTCGCCATTGGCACCAAAAATATATTACTATCTGTACAATTACATCCTTACAAAAAAAAAAAAAAAAAAAAAGAACCAGAACCGCCTTGGCACCTTGCAGTTGATGTCGCAAAAATGAGGTGAATTGTGGAAAGGCCTCCTGTGTGCACACGTGTGTGCACACACACGCTGACTGAGACACATGGCTTCTTCCGGCTTGAAAGCAGACACCCTGGATGTTGAGTGTTCAAGCCCGGACACAGGGAGCACCAGCAGCCCCTCTCAGGGGGCTTACGGAGTCCTCCTGGCATGCTTTGCTCGTTGTATAGTTTAGGGATCCTTTTTGCCAAGGTTCAGAAGCAAGCAAACAGGGTCCCTTCTGCCCAAAATCATGTTGCCAGGGAAAACAGAAGGTGTCTGCTTCACCCAGGAGGTGGCCTCGGCCTCCCCGGACGCCCCCGGCCCATGCACACCTGCCCCAGCCCAGAGCCCACGAGACAAATCTGTGGGGAAGTGCAGAGGGCTGGGTCCCTGTGCATGTGCGTGGGCAGCATCTGCCTGTTGGGGGCCTACAGCGGCTCAGAGCCGGGGGCCACCCTGCAGCAGCGAGGTGACAGTGCTCTGCAGGGCCACAGCCACCTTCTTGGAGGTCTTCCGCAGGAGCGGGCTGTCGGGGTGCTGCTCCCGCAGGTGCAGGACGTGGCCCTCCTGGCTCTCGGACGTGCAGCCGCACTCCTCACACACGTAGAGCTTGGCACGCCGCTCCTTGTAGGCGTACTGCTGCTGCACGCCGTGGATCTTCTTGAGGTGGGACTCCAGCGAGCAGCGCTGTGTGAAGGCCTTGTCGCACAGGCTGCACTTGTAGGGCCGCACACCTGCGGGGGACAAGAGGCTGGTCAGGCATGCCAGTGGGCAGGCCCAGGGATGGCCGGAGTCTCCCTCACCAGCCTGTCCCCATCACCAAAGTCCTGAGAGAGGATCTGGGGTGTAGGTTGGGACTGCTGGAGAGTGATTTCCCCCCCCCTACCCCTTCCCGGGGCTCCCACCAGGCAGGTCTAGGCTGCCCCCTTCTTCAGCAGCAGCCAGCCAGTTCACCTGTTACTCACCTGTGTGTGTCCGAACGTGCCGCTTGAGGTCGAAGGTGTCATTGAAGCCCTTGCCACAGTAAGTGCACAGGTGTCTCTTGACATCATTGTGACACTTCATGTGGCGGTTCAGCATCCGCTGGTAGGTGAAGGCCTTCTGGCAGATGTGGCAGGTGAAGAGGTCCCCGCTGGCACTGTCCCCCAGGGTCACCTGTGGATGAGTACAGCGTGAGCTGCGGACAGCCCCTCCTGGGCGGGGAAGGACACCCCGCTGAGCCATGGGGTCCCAGGTCTGCTGTGTCCCAGCCTGATGCAGTCCTCCCCCTCCCCTGCTCTCTCATCTAATAAAAATCCCTCTGTTTTTTTTTTTTTTTCTTTTTAATTATGAGAAATCTGAGGTTTCTACAAAGCTGCAGAGATCGAATCCAGAGCCCGATGCCTGGTCCCTGGGGTCCTGCCTCTGTCCCTGTTCCAGGGGTCACCCCTGCCCCTGGCGATCATCGCACATCAGGGCAAGCCCCTCACTGCTAGTGAAGACCATGCGGATCAGGACCCCGCCCCCTGGCTGGCTCTGGGAGCAGCAGGTGGAGGGGCACGTCCAGTATCGGGGCCAGCCGCCCAGCACGTCTTCCCTCCTGTCCCAGCCTGCACGTGCTGCCTCTATGTAAGGCCGGGGAAGGGCCAGTGTTCTCTGCACCAGGAGTCCTCTCCCTGCTGCTGGACACCTACAGACCCCAGAGCTCGGGGGGTGCTGACTCTGCCAGGGACTGTCCCCCTCACCCTGCAACCTGCAGCCTGAAACTTTCTTGGGAGCTAGCCAACGCGTTGGGTCATTGGGGCCAGGGGTTTGCTAGCCACGTGCCTCCAGGGAGAGGTGGCTATTCAAGATGGAGCTGAACCAAGCCCACTCCTCACTGTCCAGCCCCAGAATTTTCCATCAAGAAACTCAACCCATCAGCAATCCTGCATGCCCAGCCCCTTCCCCGCCCCTCCATGCCCTTGCTAAGCAGGAGGATCTCCTTGTGCAAGCAACGCATGCCGCATCCCCCTCTGTGCGTGCCTGGTCCTGCGGGCAGCCTGGGGTTTGCTTACCTTCATCTTGGTGCTCAGGAAGCTGTGTTCCCGGCTCTGGGCGTCCGTGAGGCGGCCCAAGTCCTCGGAGGGCAGCTGTGCCACCACGCAGGGCCCCGGAGCTACGCTGTAGCTGGAGTTGCGCATGCTCATATCCAAAGCCAGAGGACAGGAAGGGGGCTCGGCTATCGACGGCTCCGGCTCCTGGTAGGGCTGTGGTGGGCAGAAGCCCAGGCTGACTGAGGAGAGAAACGTGGCCCAGTGAGGGGTAGGAAGGAGGGATGGGGCGTGGTGTGTGTGCGTGCAGAGGGGTGTCAGTAGACTCCCCCAGCCTGAGGTCCTCCCTCAGCAGGCATGCAGTCGAGTGGGGCTGCCTTCAACCCACCACGCGTGCTCCTCCCTCCTGCCCCATTAAGGTAATTGTAGGTGACGCCAGCCAAGCGCCACTGCCCACTGAGTAATCTGTGTCTTAGCGGAACTGGGAGGCCCGAGCTGCCCTGGCGAGGACTGTCGCCTGCCCCACCTGGGCCAGTCCTTCTGGATTCCATGCCAGGCCACGCTGCTGGAAGGGCAAAGGGCATCCCCTGCCCCGCCCAGGGATGGTGGCTCCTTGAGGCTCAGCAGGGTCCTGGGGTCTGGGTCCCTCCAGGTAGAGTCAGCTGCTGGCTGAGGGGGTGCGGGTGGTCCTAGCCCCTGCCTTCCCCCGACTCCACCCACCGCCCGCTGCCCTCCCTGGCTCTGGACGCTCCGCTGTGCCAACAGGTGGGCCAGGAGGGTGGCACAGGCAGGAGGTCAGGCAGCAGCAGGTGGATGAGGCCTAACAGTCTCTGGGCGGCCTGCCCAGCGCTGACGCAACCCTCCCCCACGGGGCAGGACCGCTCCCCGGGCTTCGTGGACCTGGGCCAGACAGCACGATACTGACAGCCTCCTCCTCCAAAGGCCGCTCCCTATGGTAAACGGGGCTGGAGAGGCTGGGACAAAGAAAACGGGACAGGATTCAGCGGAGCCAAGGTCAAAGCCAATGGTGGAACCCAGGCTGACAACACTTCCCTTAGCATGGGAGGGGAAGTGGGGGTCTGGACCAGATGGGGTGAGACAGGTGGGAGGCGGACCCTGAGGCGGCTCTGGGGCCAGGCCAGGGTGTGTTGGGGAGGGCTGCCGGGGGCGTTGGGGCGAGGCCACAAGAGGAACGCAATAATGGGGGGAGGGAAGCTGAGTAGGAAAGCGCCCAGTTTCGGGAGAGGCCCCAACTCTCGCCCCCTCAAAACACAACAAAGTTCTGCTAGGAGCAGAACCCGTTGGGCTGGCACTGGCGTCCGTGTGTCCGGGGGCCGGTGGCATGAGCCACTTCATTCTGGGCGTTGAATCACCAACGCCTGGCCCCAGCCTGGCCCCTGAGCTGGCTAAGCAGCTCGCTCAGGCTCTGGTGCTCGGGCGGGATGGGAGACATTCAGCCAGCTGGGCTTCCTGACAGGGACAGTGCTGACACGCCCAGGACCTGGGGTTGGGGGACAGTCACTGGGAGACCATGGCTGGGGAGAACCTGGGACGGCAGCAACGGCAGGTGCCCATGGGTGCACGGATGGCTGTCACTCTTGGTTCGTGACTGGGAGTTGAGCCAGTGTGCCCACTGCTCCGGTACCCCCTGCATCCCCCACACACACCTGGAGAGGCTGGCACTGGGGCCAGAGGGAGCCTGGCTCCAGGCTGCCTCTCCCCGAGCAAGGGGGCAGAGGAGGCTGCTGGGTGGGGCCATTTACCTCATCATACCCACCCAGCCAAACCTGTCGCCCTGCCACCCCTGGGAGGTGCCCCTACGCTGTGTGCGCAAAGGGAGGGGGCAAGGGCCACTGTGCTGAGTGGCACGGAAGGAGGCAGGAAGCAGAACTGGTTGGGCCCTGCTGGGCCGCTCGAGGTCCCTTAATTAGATGTTTCCTGCAAAGCAGAGGCCACAGTGGCTACTCATCGCGGGCACGCGCCCACAGCTGCCTGTGGAGTGTGGCAATGGCGCGCCAGCCGGGCCTCCTCCCTCAGCGACACCTGTGTGCCCCTCCTGGTGGCCCACCTTGTCCTCACTTGGAGGAGGCTGCTGGGCTCCAGGGTCTGGAGTGTGGCATGGTGGACACATCCAGGGTGGCTTCCATCCCAGTCTGCCTCCCCACTTCCCCCTCTCTCAAATGGAAAGCCGTGGGCCCCAGTACTGGACGTGGTGCTGGTCCTCTGCCTCCCAGGCTCCAGGCCAGTATGGACCACGAGGCCTGTCCCAGCTGACCTCGTGGGGGCTGACCATGGAGGCAGGGGTTGGGGGACAATGTGTCAGCAAAACTGAAGTTGCACCCTTGTCACAAAAGGCAGGGGAAGGAGGGCTGGGCTCCCTTCTCCAGTGGCCCAGGGGCTGCGGATGACTTCTGGGCCAGCCACCTCCCTGCACAGCTCTCTCTAAGATGAACAGGCCGTAGGTTGTTTTGGGACCTGGGGCAGAGGACAGGCGACAGCACCCCAAGGGACAGGCAGGAGTCCCCGCAAGGCAACTGTCCGGAGCCAAGACGCTCTTGGGTCTTCAGCCACAGTAGCTGTCCCCTTTCCTAGGCTGGCTCCTGGAGCGCACGGGACACTTGCCAGGAACTGCCACAGTGGTCAGTGCATGGCTGACCTCGGCCCGTGCAGGTACACACTCCCTGGGCCCTAGGCTGGCCGGCAGCAGCGTTGGGACGCAGCACAGAGAGCCCAGCCCTTAGGGGAAGCCCACCTTTCCTCCACGCCCACCGCCCTGGGTCTCCCATACAGGAAGGAGGGGGCAGAGTTGGCCATGCCACACCTGGAAGGGAGGCTGGGGCCTGAGGGCCGCCCTCAAGTGCTCCTCAGCTGGGCCTGTTCTCTGCAGCACCTCTAAGCAACAGGTTCCTAGGCTACTCCTCAAGTTGTAGCCTCACTTCCTTCTCTGGGAGAAGCAACCTTGGGTCTGGTCACGGCCCCCTCACCCCAGACCCTTACCTCTCCCCACTGCAGCCCTCAGCTTCAGGGGCTCCCCTTTCCGCCTTGAGAGGGAAAGCTTTAGGATCTGGCCTAGGGAGGAAGGTTCCAGGGCCACCCTGAAGGAAGAGCCCGGCACTCCTAGACAATGCAATCCCCAGGCAGGTGGTCTCCAAGAGTCTCAGAGCTCCCACATGCAGGTCAGGCCTCCCACTTCCCCCAGTCATCATGGGGTGGATGAGGGCGGGAAGCAGGGTCAGTGCCTAGCTGGGAGGGGAAGCTGAAACGTGCCCAGCTGGCTCCTGGGTCATGGCTGGCTGGGGATGGAATGGCCCAGCATGGGACAGGCACCGGGGCATGCAGTCTGAGTGCACCCAGGACATTCCCGTTGTCCCTCTCCGAAACGGGGTAACTCTCGCACAGACCCCACAGGCTTCACAGGCAAGGTGAATTCTGTTAGTGGCCTCATGGACACTCTCCTGGCCGGGGATGTAGGCAAATCCTCACCGCAGAAGGCAGCAGGGATGCCCCCGCCACCTTATGCTCCTGGCCTTGCACCTGGGACCACCCTGATCCCACATCCCCTCAACTGGACAGCAGCGGCAGGGACAGGTAGGGACCACCCATGACGACGGCACAGTCCCTGGGACGCAAGCCTCCTCTCCTCCCCCCGCCCCATCAGAGAGGGTGGCAGGAGGAGGAGGGGTCACTGGGCCTGGGTAAGTCAATGATTTGAGAAAGCGGAATTTCTTTGTCCTTTGTGAAAGCCAACACATGATCTGTTACTGATTGGGATGGGAAATCAAACTAGAAGTAACAACCCGCGCAGTCACCTTTAACACAGAGCAGGTTATCAGATCCCAGGGAGCGGCTGAGCAGCAAGGCCAGTGAGGGACTAGGGGGGAGGGAGGTGGGAGGAGTAGGAAGGGGCTCCCTGTCACTGCCACACGGGGGAGGGGTCCCCAGAACCAGCCAGCTGACCAGGGAAGTTGGCAGAGCAAGAGCCTGACCGCATGCCCTAACACACTCCCCTGAGGAGGCCACTGCGGGAGGAGGGGTCGCGGGTGCCTCAGTTTCCCTGAAGGATGCCAGGCATATTGCCCTGTTTTTTAGGCCACAGAAGAGTGGGGCCTGGCCCCCTTGGGATGAGGCTAAGCTGGGACCTCCACACCCCATGCCCCAGCGCTGCAGTGCAGGCGATGCCACCTGCTGCGTCCCACACCTCACTTCAGGAGGGACACTGACCGAGACTCTCTCTGGAGTCCCCTCACCCCCAAACGCTCACTTCCCAATCCTCCTCCTCCGAGGAGGCCGGGCGGTGCCAGGGCGCCTGTAGATCAAGGGTCAAAGTCAGTTGGTTAATTACAACTGCTCCCCCCTCCCTGGAGGCAGCGGGCCGGGAGCAGCCCCCGCTCCACCCCTACCCCCGGCCCAGGGAGGGGGAGTTGAGACGGAAGTGGGGCCTCTCCAGCACGCACGCAGATCTGTTTGCGGGCGAGGAGGCCAGAAAGCGCACAAGTGTCTGGGAGGGGGCTGGTCCCCCGAGAAGGATGCGACTGGAAGAAGGGACAGCCCGCGTTACTCATTCCGAGTGGACGCGGACGCTGGAGAGGCGTCTTCCAAAAATAAACCGGACGCACCAGTTTCCCGGGGCTGTTCTCCCCCCCCATTCCCTCCCCACCCCATCCCCCGCGCCCCTGCAGGGCCAGGGTGTGAGATCCTGCCACTCAACCCATGTCTCTGCTAGGCTGAAGCGGGGTGCCGCAATCCATCCCGGGTACCGCATGCCCGTAGCTTCGGAGACACTCGGGGCGCACGGGGACCCTTCCCGAGCAGGCCACCAGCACTGTGACGGAGCGGCGGGGAGTGGAGAGAGAGAAGGGTGTACAGAGACTCCAGCTCCTTCCCTGCCCCTCGAGGTGGCACCGCTCCAGTGCCCCCTTCCTGTCTCATCAAAGTCCTGCCTTTCTGGATTTACGACGCCAGGGCCCAGGGTCGCCCGGGCAGGTGACACAGCCCGTTGCTTTCCAGGGCGGCGGGGTGGCAGCCCGCGGGCACCCCACGAGGCCGAAGAGCCGGCGCCGTCCCTGCCCGGCGGCCCGGGTGTCCGAGGGTCCTCCCCCAACAGTGCCGGGAGTTGGGGGGTCGCAGCGCCCCAGCCCCCCAGCGCGCCCTCGCCGCGCACCTGGCACGTAGATCTCGCCGCGCTCCTCGTCGGGGAGTTCACTCCAGTTCCGCTTGCACGTGGAGACGCACGGCTTCTTCACCAAGAATGCGCGGGGCATTTTCGAACCTTCCTTGCCCGGGGCGGTCCGCTTCCGTCACGGGAGAGCCGGGGCTAGGTGCAGAGGTAGCGGGGCAGCCGCCTCAAGCTTCGCCCGAGTGGGCCCGAGGCGGGAGGGAGGGTAGGGTACAAGTGCGAGGAAGGAGGCGCCCGCACGTCCCGCGGAAAGCCGGCCAGACGGCGCGCGCAGCCGCCCCGACTCGGTCCTCGCTGCGCCAAGCGGGGCTCGCCGGGGGCCAGGTGCGCCGGGCCCGCGGAGGAGCGGCAGGTGAGCGTCTCCCGGCTCGGCTGCGTCCCTGCGGCCGCTGGAGAAGTCTTCAAGTGCGAGCCGGCCGGACGGGTTCACGCTTTATTAGCTCGCGGCGGTGTGTGTTGGTGGCTGGGGCGGGGTGTGTGTGCGTGTGTGTGTGTGTGTGCGTGTGTGATCTGATCTAATTAGCTTGGAGTGGCCCGGAGAGCGACAGCGCATGCGTTGGGAAATAACGGTGACAACCCACCTATTTGTTACCTGTCGAACCGGTTTCCATTCCGCTGCGGGTGAGGTGGCCTCGCGGCCCCGGGCGGGGCGGCCGGGCGGGGGCGGGCGCCGGGCAGCCTGCCCCCTGCACCGGCTGCGCTGCGGGCCCGGCGCCCGCCCGCCCGCCCGCCGCCTCCCGCGGGGCATGCTGGCGTCTGCAAACGGGAGTTTCGGAGGGAGCGGGCAACACAGAGGGCGGGGACGGGGCAACGTTATTTGCGCCGCGCTCGCACGCTCCGAGGGTGATGAAATGCCAAACTTGCTCGGCTGGGCCCTGCCCGACCCTGGCGCGCCCGGGGGGCGCCTGGCTGGGTGCGGGGCAGAGGGGGCGGGAACGGGCAGATCGGGGCAGCCCTCCCTGGTGGAACCGGGCAGGCACCCCGCGCCTCGGGTCGGGCTCCCCAAAGGCCGAGTTAAGCCATGGGTGGTTCAGCCTGGGTACTTGTTGCAGGGCGATGGCTTCGTGCGGGAAGGCACGCAGGGCTGTGGGCATGGAGACCAGGAGGGCCCAGTACCATAGCAAGGGTACTGGCGCGGGGAGCCCACCCTCTGTCAGGTGAAGAGTTAGTGGCTGGAGGGTGGGCATCCAAGCTGGCCAAGCTGAGCCCATGAGGGTATGGAAAAACCCTTGCATTTTGGTCCTGGGGTCTCCCACACTCAACTCCTTCCCGCCCCTGAGTTGAGAGTCCGTCTTGAACCTCCCTCCACCCTCAAGTCTCAGGCTCTGCCGGGTCTCCCTGGGGTGCTGGGCGGCCAACATTCTGCCACGTTGGCATCCCCTCCTGGCTGATCTGTTGGGGGCAGTAAGTGTCCTCTGCTCACACCCTCCCCAACAGAGTACTGAAGAACCTCCCTCCCCCTGCCAGGCCGCGGGCGTCCTTCTCAGGGTGTAGGACATGTTAGCTGGAACAAGGAACAGATTGGGAGGAAATGAGGCTGATAAATGAATTCGCACAGTTCAAAAGTCAGGAGAGGAGAGGCTGGCTGCTGGTGGACTTCCGGGCTGGGCTGCAGGTGGAAATTGCTTTGTGCTGTGGGGCCCCTTCCCTCCCTCCAGCCTGTGGGGAGGGTGTGCACTCTGGGGACCTGTGGGCCACCTCCTCCTCCTCACTCCAAAGCCTGTTTCCAAAGGCCTGTCCTTGTCTGTTACCTGGGAATCCCACCCTCGCTAGCCCCCAGCTCCTCCTGTGCTTCCCAAGGCTTTGCCTGGTGGTGCCCCTTGCTCTGGGGCGGGACACTGTCCCTGACCTCCAGCGATTACTTGCTGGGCACTTAAGCCCTGGTAGTCAGCCCCAGGATAGCGACAGACACTGTCGGTCCAGGAGACAGGCTGCTTTTGGGCATGCGCTGTGGGGTGCACTTAGCTGACTGGCTAGTATGCAGATGTGGATGGCACAGTCGGGGCAGAAGGTGGGGAGGAATACAAATCAGTGGGTCCAGGAGACCCAGAGGGTGCGGGGCATGGCAGGGTGGACGCGTGAGGCTGACCCCCTAACACCTCCATCAGGCCAGAGGGTCTGCAGCCAGGCCCCAGGTGGGCTGGTGGGTCCCTGCTGTTCACGCATCCTCACATGCACCAGGGGATTGCTGCCCACCTGTGATCGCGGCTCTCGGGACCCATTGGCCACCATGTGTTGCTGGCAGAGACGAGATGAGGAGAATAAAAGCAGCCGTGGCAGGAGCCCTTGGGTGGGCCTGGGCCGGATGCCCGCACCCTACATCGGAGTGCCGACTTGGCTGTCTGCCTCTGTACCGGCCTGCAGCTTTCTGCTGCCACGGGAGACAGATGTCTCAGTAGCTGAGGTTCTAGCACTCCAGGTGGGAAGCCCAGCCTGGCCCTGGGACCTGTGGGCACTGGGGCAGTGAGCAAGCCACTGGAAGCTCTGTCTCTCTGTCTTTCTCTTGAATAGTAAACATTTTAAAAAGCAGAAGGCAGTCCCAACATGTCATTTGAATACAGAAACCCGGGGTCACATATTCCCATTTTCCGAGAGAAGCTGGAAAAACTAACATGCATGTGAAACCTACAGATTTCCGAATGTTTCTGCAAGATTGTGTTTTGGGCCCGGCAGTATGGCCTAGCAGCTAAAGTCCTCGCCGTGAACGCACCAGGATCCCATATGGACGCCGGTTCTAATCCCAGCAGCTCCACTTCCCATCCAGCTCCATGCTTGTGGCCTGGGGAAGCAGTCGAGGACGGCCCAATGCTTTGGGATCTTGCACGCGCGTGGGAGACCCAGAGGAAGCTCCTGGCTCCTTGCTTTGGCACAGCTCTGGCTGTTGCAGCCACTTGGGGGATGAACCAGCAGATAGAAGATCTTCCTCTCTGTCTCTCCTCCTCTCTGTATATCTGACTTTCAAATAAAAATAAAATCTTTTTTTAAAAAGTTGGTTAAAATATTTATTTGGGGCTGGTATGATGGTTTAAGTGGCTAATTCTCCACCTTCAAGTACTGGCATCCCATATAGGCACCGGTGTCTCTGCTGCTTCATGTCCCTTCCAGCTCCCTGCTTGTGGCCTGGGAAAGCAGTAGTCTTGGGACCCTGTATCCACGAGGGAGACCCAAAGGAAGCTCCTGGATCCTGGCTCCAGCTCAGCTCAGCTCTGGCCGCTGCGGCATCTGGGAGAGTGAACCAGTGAATGAAAACATCTGTTTCCTTCTCTCTGTAAATCTGCGTTTCCAATAAAAATATAAAAAGTGAGAGTGAGATTTTCCGCCCACCTGAGCACTCCCCAAGTGGCAGCAATGACCATGGATGGACCAGCTCAAAGCAGCATTTCTTCCGGGTCTCCCAGGCACTTGGGCCATCTGGTGCTTTCCCAGGCACAACCGCAGGGAGCCTGCTGGGAAGTGCAGCAGTCAGGACTTACATGGTGAGCAACTGGCACGGTGGAGAACTGACAGCTGGAGGTGGGGGTGGTATTGGGCCTCTCCCCGCCTGCCCAAGAGTGAGGGCAGGACTTGTTTGGAGGCAGAAGGCTTGAGCCCCTCCCCCAGTTCTGTGCCCCAGGAAGGTCTCTGGGAGGTGCCAGGGGGTGTTTTTGGGGGGGAAGGGCCTGGAAGTGAGCAGTACACACACACACGGTGTTGGGTGGGAGAACGAACCAGCACTTCGATTTGCCCCTCCTGGCCATGCTCCCCAAACCCTGTGGCATCCAGAGCAGTGGCAGACATAACTTACAGGGGTCAGAGGAGGCACTGCCACAGGCTGGGCCAGCTAGAGTGGGCACGCGGCTGCTGCTGGAGGGGGATCCTTACAGCCAGCCGTCAGAGGGGGTGCCCCTGCGTGCGTTCCTGCAGGCTCCCAGTTCCCACCGTCTTTCCCCTTGAGTCATCCACCTCCCCTCTGTCTCCTGGCTCAGATCTGCACTGCAGCTTCCTGCAAGGTGTACCCTGCAAAGCCACGGGGACCACGGCTCACGCCCTGGGGACCCTGCCACCCACACAGGAGACCCAGATGGAGTCCTTGGCTCCCAGGTTGGATCCAGAATGTGTGAACTGAGTCAGTGGACAGGAGCTCTGAAATTCTCCAACAAGTGAAAATTCACACACACACACACACATACCCTGGTAAACAGGATAAAAGTCCCATCACAGCTCCCAGTCGGGCCTACAAATGGACATTCAGTGCCTTGTCCTTGCTGACTGCCCTCCCCAAGCCAGGCCCTCCCCGCTGGTCCCTCTGTCCCCTGCACAGGCCAAGCCTACTCTCAGATGAGACCGGGCTGTGTGGTCAGTGGCTATCTTGGCCATCTGGGCCTTGGGAGTGACCCCTGCGTGCCCCTGTCCCTTCGCCGGGGGCGGCCCTGTGGGAGCCTCACTGAGTCCAGAGTAGAAGTTCTGCCCATGAGGGGCCCCGTTTCCAACACCATTTTCCAGAGCCTTTAACAGATGTGACTCAAAAAGCTTAAAATTCACCAGTAGAGGAAGGGCCCTGGTCCGCAGTGGTCTGGCCACTGTCATGGTGCAAAAGCTGTCATTCCGTTTGATGGCATTCTGCACACACACCGCAGACCTGCCTGCTCCTTCATCCGCGTCCCCACTCCTGTGCCTTGAGGACAGGCTAACTGGGTGGGGAGCCAGACCTGCCACCTGGAGAGACACTCCCATAGCTGTGTGCCCCCCGCCTGGACTGGGGGAGGACAGAGATGGGGCTGGGCTGCGGTAGGGGGGCATGAAGCTCCCAGCCTGGTCACCAGGGGAGCAGACCCTGGCCGTGTGGAGGAGCAGGCCAGGTGCCACACCGGGCCCTCTGCCATGGAGTGACCAGTACCTGGGCGTCCTCTCCGATCCCTGAGAGCAGGTGTCTGCTGGAAGCCGGTGGCCTCCTGCTCCAGGCAGCATGCCCGCCCCAGCGCTGCTCTCATACCGGCCTCTTTCATCTTAGGTTTAATTAGTCAGTCCACCCCGCCCTGGAGCCTCCTGGGGCATCATCAGCCCCATTTTATAGATGGGGAAACTGAGGTACCTAGAGGGAAGTGGTTTGGGGCTGCCGCCTCTGAGTCAGTGGCGACGGCGGCAGAGCAGAACCTAGCCGGGACCCAGAGGAGCCCAGACCGGGCCTTCTGGCTGGACCTGTCGCTCCGGGTGGCCGATTCCAGCACTGCGAGCCCAGCTCTACCTGCCCACCCCAGCTCCCGGTGGGGGCGGTGGCAAGAAGGGGGGGGGGGTGGTAAGAGAGAAGCGGCTGGCACGGTGGCGGCAGTGGCTCGGGCTTGTTTCATCTTCAAAGCGGCTAATTAGAGCCACAGGCGTCTGTCGGGGCAGTCAGCAGTACCACGGCTCTGTGCCCTGGAAACGGGCAGGCGGTCACTGGGGCACCTGCATGCCTGGGCTCCGTGCACCCCGGGGGCTCAGCTCCGGTTCCCGGTATGTGCTGGGGAGAGGGGCTGTCCCCAGGCCACTCCCCTGCTGGCCCTCTGGTTCCCAGGCCCTGCCGGCCACACGGTGCCAACCCGTGCGCCCTGTCTGCATCCCGTTGTTTACAGGTTTCTGGCCACTTTCCCGCGCGTGCCTCCCACGAGCACGACTTCCAATACCCTCACCCCGTGACTCCCGCGGAGCTTCGGCCAAAGGTCAGCAGCTTGCGCCACGCCGCGACCCCGGCGCCGGCTCCTCACCCTCAAGCGGGGCGGGTGGGGGCCGGGTTGGCGTCAGGGAAGCCACGCCAAGCCCTGCGGCGCCCGTCCGACCGGTCCAGCGCGGGCCTCGGGCCTCGAGCCTCGGCCGCCCCTCGCACGCCCCCCGTCACGACGGTCCCAGAAGCCCGAGGATCTGCACCCCAAACGCCACTCGCGGAGGGGGTGCGGGTGCAGCAGTGCGCACGAAGCGGGAGGTGCGCGCCGCGCGGGCCCCGGGCTCGTGCGGCCTCCGCGTGGCGGAAAACCCCGGGTGCCCAGGCCCACCCTTCTGCGTCCCTGCCCCGGCCCGCGGCGGTTTCGGGGAAGGGGGGCCCTGCGCGGCGGGACAGTTACTCAGCCCCAGCGAAACCAGCGAGTCGGCACCTGCCGGCCCGGGCAGGCGGCGGCCCCGTTACGCCCCGCCCCGCCCCGCCGCTCTCGGCCGCCCCCGCGCCGCCCCGCCCCGCGCCGCCCGTGCGCCCGGAAGCGGCCGCCCGGCCCAGCCCGGCCCAGCAGGGAGGCGCAGCGGCCCGTTACGGCGGCCGGCGGTGTTGGCGGTGCGGGCCCGCGGCCAGCGTTCGCGGCAGGGCCTCCGCAGCCCGCTCCGGCCGCACGCACCTCCCGACTCGCCTCCTTTTGGGGTCCTGGGCCGCTGGAGCCGCGCTCGCGGCCTGCGGCGGCCGTGAGGCCCGCGCGCCCTCTGGCGGCCAGCGGCCTGGACGCGCGCTCTGGTCGCTCCACCGGTGGAGGGGCGCGGGGGGCGAAGACATGGGGCCCCCGAGTCGGGACGCCTGGGCCCAGCGCCTGGCGGCCTTCCGGGCCAGCCCCTCTGCCTTTATGGCAGGTCCTCAGGGCGAGGATTTGGGACGCGACCTGCTGAGCGACCTGAGGAATGACAAGCTGAGCGAGCAGACCAAGGTAGGCCTCAAGCCCAGGCCTAGGCCTCATGCTTCCCGTGTTTCCGTGTTTCTCATTTCTCCCCCTGCACTTTGCCCTCAGGTGTCCTTGCTGTCCCTCAGCTTGGAGTACTCAGCCCAGCTGTGGCCCGACGCCCATTCGGCCGAGGCGGCCGCCACCTCCCTGTTGGACACGCTGGTGCTCCTTCCGCCTCGGCCCTCGGCCCTGCGGAGGCCCCTGCTCCTGGCGGCCACCGCAGCCCTGGCGGCAGGAGGTGCGCTGGGCCCGGCCTCAGGGGCCTCACTGCGGCTGCTGCCCCTGCTGCTCGGCCTGGCCTCAGGCCGCGACCGGGGCGGAAGCCTCTGGCCTGCCTTGGAGCAGGGTTCCTTGCAGGCCACGGCGTGCGAGTGCCTGCGTGAGCTGGAGAGCTGCCGGCCAGGGCTGCTGCGGGACGCGCTGGGGCTGCTGCGGGACGCGCTGGGCCGAGAGGGCCCCATGCAGCCGCTCAGCCTGCTGCTGGCCCTTGCTCTGCGCCATGCCCTGGCGCTGCCGCCGCCAGCTGCAACTAGGACCAGCCTGCAGGGCCTGCTCACCGCGCCGGCGGCTGCTGCGGGTAGCTGTCCCTGGAACTGGATGCCAGCTGAGGACAGCGACTTCGCCCTGCAGTGCCATGTGCCCAACTGGCCTCCAGTGGCCGCGGAGGGTGCGCAGGGCCTGGAGCTCAGGCCTGAGGAGTCCCGGGAGCTGAGGGCTACTGTGGCGCAACTCCTGGACACTTCCTACCTGCTCTCTCCTGTGGCCCAGGCCCAGCTGCTGTGGCTGCTGGGCCGGGCCCTGCGAGGCCTGCGGGGGCAGCTGCCAGCGCTCTTCAAGCCTCAGCTGGCACGGCTCCTGGGCGCAGCGCCACCCGTTCTGCTGCATGCAGTCCTGGCGCTCAAGGCGGCCTTTGGTGAGGCCCTGTTCACGGCCCAGGATGAGGCCCTGCTGCTCTGCCGCCTCACCCTGGCCGCCCAGCACCCAGCCCTGCCCTTGCCCACCCACCTCTTCTATCTACAGTGCCTCCTGAACTTTCCTGAAAATTGGCCGCTAGGTCCCGAGGGTGAGGAGGCGGCCCCACTACTGCTGGGACCCCGGATGTGCCGTGGCCTGCTCCCCAGCCCACTGCATGAGCCCATGGCCCTCCTGGCCCGCCTGCACCTTCTGTGCTTGCTGTGTGCAGAAGACCAGGACGAGGAAGAAGAGGGGGGCCAGGCACAGAGCCTTCGATGCTACCTGCAAGAGCTGCTGGCTGGCCTGCGGAGGAGGGCAGCCCTGGAGGGTGGTCCCAGGGCCACAGCCACACTTTGCTTCCAGGCGTCATACCTGGCTACCTGCTGCCTGGCTGGGCAGCCCGCAGTACTGACACCCTTGGTCCATGGTCTGGCCCAGCTGTATCGAGCCCGGCCTGTGCTTGCACCCCACTTTGTGGACCTCCTGGACCAGGTGGGCCGGGAGCTGGGGGAGCCCCTGAAGGTGGCGCTGCGGCAGGAAGTGGTGTCGGCACCGGGCAGAGATGCAGCGCTCGGCTGGCACCTGCAGATGTTGGCAAAAGTGGTGGATAGGGACTCCCAGGATGCTACCCTGCGCTTCCTCTGGGCTGCAGGTGCCCACTGCCCGGACTGGCACCTGCAGCAGGCCCTGCTGAGGGTCTGCCGGGCTCTGCTAGGCACGGGCGGGGGTGGTGGCCTGGCCGATTTGCTGCAGGCACTAGCCAGGCAGCTGGATGACCCTGATGGGCGCGACCACGCCCGCCTCTACTACATCCTCCTCTCCCACCTGGCGGGACCCAAGCTGGGGGCAGCCCTGGGCCCTTCTCTTGCCACACCAGCAGCGGCGGGGGCGGCCACCTCTTCCCTGGTGGCTGAGAATCAGGGCTTCGCTGCCACCTTGATGGTTCAGGAGGCCGCAGCCCCCGTGCGACTGAGCGTGGGGCCGCGGGTGGCACAGGGGCAGCTCCCAGTGCTGCGGCTGCAGGTGGAGGCGCTGCAACCGGTGTACTCCTTGGAGCTGCGCTTCCGTGTGGAGGGGCAGCTCTACGGACCCCTGCAGGAGGTCCACGTGCCCTGCCTGCGCCCCAGCCGCCCCACCAGCCCGCTGCTCCTGCCCCTGCAGCCCAAGCGGCCGGCCCCCGCGCAGCTGGCCGTCCGCGCCATGTACACCACACCCAGCGGCCTCACGTGCCATGCCCGCCTGCCGCCCCTGCCCGTGACCTTTGCCGACCTCTTCCTGCCTTTCCCCCAGCCCCCAGTGGGGTCTGAGCAGGGCTTCTTCCAGGAGCTCTGGAATGCCTGCCTGCCCAAGGGTGCCGAGAGCCGCGTGTGGTGTGCCCTGGGGCCGCAGGGACTGGACGCTGTGGTGTCCCGGCACCTGGAGCCCTTCGTGGTGGTGGCCCAGCCCCCCACCAGCTTCTGCGTGGCCATCCGTCTGCCCCCAGACTCGTGCCTGTTGCTGCGGCTGGAGGCGCCGCGGTCAGACGGAGTACCTGTGGCCTTGCGCACCGACGACTGGGCCTTGCTGCCCCTGGCTGGGGATTACATACGTGGCCTGTCAGCTGCGGGCTGAGTGTCCTGCAGGCCCGTGTCTGGGTGGGGCTGTGGACTGGCCCCGGGGCTTTTTTCCCATAAAGCATGTGTGTGCCAGTGACCCTGGGCATCTGCTTACTTTAAGGCTGTGGTCTGGAACACACCTGTCCACTGGGCCAGAAGGGTCTAGAATAAATCCCAGGATCACGAGGGTCGGTTCATGGCAACTTTCTGCCCAAGTGGGTTAGAACCCTCCAGAACACCTGCCCAGGAGGCATGTAGACCTTTCCAAGCAAGGCCTGACCTTGCCCAAGGCCCCCCAGGGAGGAGGCTGTGGGGGCCCAGTGGTCTCCGGCCCCAGGGAGAATCCACTGGACTGGTTTTGCTCCCCAACAGGCTGGATGCTCAGGGCTCAGGCCTGCTGCAGGTGGAAACCCAGCCCCCGCACCTTCCATCCATGTTGCTTCATATGTCCTCATAACAGCTCTGCCATGGGTGAGGGAACCTGAGCTGGTAGCGCTGGCATGCTCACCACCCGGGTGTGAGTGGCAACTTGGAACCCCAAGACGGGCCTCTGTGACCACATTCCTGGTAGGGCCCAGCCCCATATAGCAAGTGACTGGCTTACAGTGACCCCTCCTGGATGGGGTCGACAGGAGGAAGAACAGGACCCCAACACCTGTAGCTACCCCCGGGTCAAGTAACGGGGCAGTAACTTGCTCTCTCACTGGGCAGGCCATGGTCAGGCTGGGTTAGACCATCTTTGCTCCCACGCGAGGAGCTGGGTGGAAGGCTAAGGAAGTGCGCCCCCTGGAGGCGACCACGGGAGCTGCCAAGTGCCAGAAGGCGTGTTTCCTGGGGCAGTGAACCAGGGGCCTGGCCTCCTGCCTTGGAAGGCCCCTGGATAGCAGGACCAACGTCTCATGCAGTCTGCCAACAGACTGTCTGGGGATGTGTTGGTTTTCTCTGCATGCAGGTGCACGGGATGTGGTGGTGACCCTGGGCACCCTCATCAGTGCAGCCTGTGGCCCTCTGCCTCCCTCCCAGACCCCCTTCCCATTCGTCCATCACTCCTCCAGGCTGCACACCACACCAGCATCATGCCCGCGTCCCCTTGTAGGGCCACATGACGGTGGCTCTGGGCTGTACACTGGGAGCATAGGTGAATGCTGGGGCTTGTGTGTGCTCTGCAACCTTCGAGGGAAGAGTCTGCCCTGCATGAGAAGGTGTCACTCCATTCTACGTGGCTGTAGTGGGAAGTCAGAGGTGTGATAATGTGTAAATGACAGGCTTGTCCAGCTCACGGCCCCAGAGTCAGACTAGACCACGAGGGTGAGGCTGGGTCACTCATCAGTAGGGATAGGGGCCTTGCAGCGTCGTCATGGCAGGCCAGTGGGCTCCGGCAGCTGCCCCACGTCCCCCTACCTACTCCAGCTGTCCACTGAGTCCCTCGCATCAGTCCATTCTCACAGGTCCTGTCTTCAGGTTCCGCCCCTGCATGGTCGTGAACGTTGATGCTCCTGGGGAAGATGCACAGGCCAGGGGCAGTGCAGGGCCAGGGGGTCTCCTCCTCACCTGCCAGGGACAGTGCAAGGGCCAGGGGTCTCCTCCTCACATGCCAGGGACAGTGCAGGGGCAGGGGGTCTCCTCCTCACAGGCCAGGGACAGTGCAGGGCCAGGGGGTCTCCTCCTCACCTGCCAGGGACAGTGCAGGGGCAGGGGGTCTCCTCCTCACCTGCCAGGGACAGTGCAGGGGGTCTCCTCCTCACAGGCCAGGGACAGTGCAGGGCCAGGGGTCTCCTCCTCACAGGCCAGGGACAGTGCAGGGGCAGGGGGTCTCCTCCTCACCTGCCAGGGACAGTGCAGGGGCCAGGGGTCTCTCCTCAGTGAGCAACGGGGCCACAGTGCACACCCAAGGTCCAGAGGAGCCTCTGTGTGGGAGGGGTCAGATCTGCCTGAAGCCAGTTGGTTTTCTGAAACTCATGCATCCTGCATTTGACTCGTCAGCCCCACGCTGGTGTGGACAAGTTCTTTGTTCTATATCCATTAAGTTCCTGCCCTCAGAGGACTTCAGGGAGATGACCCAGCCTTGTTCCTGGACAGCTTGCGCCATCACAACACCCAGCAGCTCCCAGTGCTGTCCTCAGCATCCCCTGGGGATAAGGGACTGCCCTCCCCCCACCATCCTATCTTTTTAAAAATTTTTAAATAAAGATTTATGTGAAAGACATAGAAAGATCTATTGATTCATTCCCCAAATGGCTGCAACAGCCAGGCAGGGTCAGCTCAAAGCCAGGAGCTTCACCTGGGTCTCCCACATGAGTGCAGGGGCCCAAGCACCTGGGCCGCCCTCCACTGCTTTCCCAAGTGCATTAGCAGGGAGCTGGATGGGAAGTGGAGCAGCCGGGACCTGAACCAGCACTGCTGTGAGGCTGTCTTGCAGGTACTGCCCGGCTAGAGTAGACCCATCTTGGTCTTCCTTGTGGGACAACAAGGGTTCCTGCCCCAGTGCTTGGTATCCATCACCTTCCCGGAACCGCTGTTTCTGTTGAGGAACCTTTGGGAGACGCTGGTTTGGGCTGAGCTCCTGCATCAGGCTCCCACTGGCCTGATGAAAATGGAGCCCCTCACACTGCGGGTCATCTGACCTGCCCAGATGTCAGACAGCCCCAGGCCCACACAGGCTGCCCTGGTCGCGCTCTCTCCACCTTAATCCTTACAAGAAAACAAACAGCCATAGGCAGGCCACTCTGCCATTCCGTTTCTACTCGCCTTGGCTTCCTCGGTCTGTAAGATCAGCTTCTGGGACTGGTGGCATGGTATAGCAAGCTAATCCTCCGCCTACAACACTGGCATCTCATATTGGCGCCAATTCAAGTCTCAGTGGTTTCAGTTCCCATCCAGCTCCTTGCCTGTGCCCTGAGAAAGCAGTACAGGTCGGCTCAAAATCCTGTGACCCTGCACTCACGTGGGAGACCCAGAAGTTCCTGTTTAGGGAGTGAAACAGAAGAAGGATGGAAGATCTTTTTGTCTTTCCTTCTCTCTGTAAATCTGCCTTTCAAATAAATCTTGATAAAAAGAAAAGGGTAGTTTGCCCTAGAGAGCAATTCAGCTACAAGAACTGATGGTGTGATGCAAAGAGCCTGCCAACGCACAGCAGGTGAACGCAGGTGGGGGGGGGGCGGGGCGCCCAGCATCCCTGAGCCGCCAGTCGGCTCGGTCACGTCCTAACGGGACGCCCCTCAGTTGAGCGTCCATTTAAATTAAAATCCATCCTGCAGTGTCCCTGCCTTGTAGACCACTGCCAGGAAATGTCAGACTGTCTCTGGATAATGTCTGCAGTGAAGACTACTGGGAAATGCAATAAAAGAGAAACCGAGACTCCCAAGTTCAATTCTGAATTACTGCAAAGGGCAAGCGTATGCTCATAGCTGGACCTTCGCACATTCCATCACCTACTGTGGAAGGAGCTGGACCCTGGAAGAGGTTACCAAAATAAAAACACACACAGTAATTGTGTAACTAGGGGAGAGAGCGGTGGCTCCACAGGCTCCAGCTGCCAGCACTGGGTCCCAGCTGTTTCACTTCCTTTCCAGCTCCCTGCTTGTGGTCTGGAAAAGTGGTGAAGATGGTTCAAGTCCTTGGGCCGCTGCACCTGTGTGGGAGACCTAGAAGCTCCTGGCTCCAGGCTGGCTCAGCTCCAGCTGTTGCAGCCAATTGGGGAGTGAGTGAACCAGTGGATGGAAGATCTTTGTCTCTCCTCTTTACAATACAAATAAACTTTTTTAAAAGCCCTCTTAGAATTAAGTTGTAAGATGTAAGAGTAGCATGCAAAAATTAAATTCTAGGGCCCGGCGCGGTGGCGCAAGTGGTTAAAGGTCCTCGCCTTGCACGCCCGGGATCCCATATGGGCGCCGGTTCTAATCCCGGCAGCCCCGCTTCCCTTCCAGCTCCCTGCCTGTGGCCCGGGAAGGCAGTTGAGGACGGCCCAAGGCTTTGGGAACCTGCACCCGCGTGGGAGACCCGGAAGAGGCTCCTGGCTTCGGATCGGCATAATATCGACCCGTTGCGCTCACTTGGGGAGTGAATCATCGGACGGAAGATCTTCCTCTCTGTCTCTCCTCTCTGTATATCTGCCTTTCCAATGAAAAAAATAATAAAAATAAATCTTTAAAAAAAAATTAAATTCTATTTTTATATACTAGATATGAACATATGGGACCCAAAATTAAAAAACACATCGCGGGATCCAGCCAACAGCCTAGTAGTTAAGACACCAGTTAAGACATCAGCTCAAGCCCTGACTGAGACTCCGGCCCGGGCTCCTGACCCCAAGGCCGACCTGCAAGGGAACACCAGAACCGAGTTCCCAGCTTCCAGCTCTGAAGGCAGCCCGGCCCTGGCCACTGCGGTGCTTAGGGAGTGAACCAAGCAGAGGTGAACTCTTACACCCTCTGGTTTTCTGTCTAGCCACTCACCATCACTCCAAAGAAAATGACATGCACTGGTGGCGTGACGACCAGGCCCGCTCAGGCCAGACGCGCTGCGCACCCCACCGAGCGGGAGAACACCAACAGCAGGTAGACGGTGCAGCGTGGCATATGTGTGTCCTGTGCTGCGTGAAGCCCCCACACCAGTTAGGGAGAGCTGCCGCTGTCCCAGGCACCCGGCGGGCAGCAGCACAGGCAACGTGACCCCATGGGACCTCAACCACTAAAGCTGGGACTTCACGGGACAGAAGCCATCAGCATGAGATCCAACGACCTAGCCTTAGAAACAAAACAAAACTCGGCAGTTTCATGTCTTAGGTGATTCTAAAAGTGCCACAAGAAACTGCTAGATGCCAGGAACTAGAGCAAAATGACCTGTCTTTGAAAGCAAGATGACTAATTTGGGTAACTCAAGAAAATAAGGAACTGTAGGGAACGGCAAAGGAATTTATTAAGTAACTGGTTAAAAAAATGAAGGCAGGGGAGGGAAGGAAGTCCCGGTGTGGTAGCCTAGTGGCTAAAGTCCTTGCCTTGCATGTGTCGATTCCTTATTTGTTTTTTTTCTTTTTAAAGACTTATTTATTTTTATTGGAAAGTCAGACTTAGGGCCCAGCGCAATAGCCTGGTGGTTAAAGTCCTCATCCTGCACGTGTTGGGATCAACAGCCCATATGGGCACTAATTCTAATCCCGGTGACCCCACTTCCCATCCAGCTCCCTGCCTGTGGCCTGGGAAAGCAGTGGAGGACGGCCCAAAGCCTCGGGACCCTGCACCCATGTAGGAGACCCGGAAGAGGATCTGGGCTCCTGGCTTCAGATCAGTGCAGCTCCGGCGTTGCGGTCATTGGGGAGTGAATCATCGGATGGAACATCTTCCTCTCTCTATCTCCTCCTCTCTGTATATATCTGACTTTGCAATAAAAATAATTAAATCGTTGAAATAAATAAATCTTAAAAAAAAAAAGAGAGAAGGAGGTTTCAAAATATTTCCGCACCATCGGTAACCTTCATTTTAAAATCTCCTTTCCCCACAAGCTGCTAGAAGCCCTTCTTAGGCTGACCGGCTCTGCCACGCACACGGTGACCTGGCAGCACCTGGGGCCACATCCAGCCCCGGGGAGAGCCGACCCCGGGGAGCCCGCGCTCCCAGCGCTCCCAGCGCTCCGAGGGCTCCCAGCGCCCGCCCGCGTGGGCTGCCGGCTCGCGGGGACACGGCCACGGGCGACTCGGAGACCAGCGCGGCCCCCTCCCCGCTCGGGACCACGAGGGGAGGGGCGGCCGGGCCCCGCCGGACTACACTTCCCGTGGTGCTCTGCGCCCGCGCGGCTCCCGAGAGGCCCCGCGCGTCCCGGCGCTGCGCGCGCGGCGGGAAGGAGGGCGGCATGGACGACTCGGACGCGGCGACCGCGCGCCAGCCCCGCGTCCACCTGCGCCCCGGTTCCCTGCGCGACGCTGCGCCCGGCACGCTGCACCTGCTGCCCTGCGAGGTGCTGGCGACGCGGGCCGCCCCCGTGGAGCGCTTCTTCACGCCCGCCATCCGCCGCGGCCCCGACGGTGAGCGCCGCCGGCCCCTCCCCCCGCCGGCCGCCGCGAGGGCTCCTGGGAGTCGGGGCAGTCGGGGCAGCCGCGAGGGCTCCTGGGAGCCGGGGCAGTCGGGGCAGCCGCGAGGGCTCCTGGGAGCCGGGGGCGTGGCGCCCTCTGACTGCGCCCCGCCTCCCGCTGCAGGCCTGCGCGCGTCGTTCCGGGGACGCAGTCTGCGGGGCGAGGAGGTGGCCGTGCCGTCCGGCTTCGTGGGCTTCGTGATGGCGACGGAGGGGCCGGGGGCGGGGCTGCCGGACCCCGAGCCGCCGCAGCGGGACGAGCCGCCGGAGCGGGGCTGGGTGAGCCGAGGGCGCCCGGGGCGGGCGGCGGGCGGCGGGCGGGACCCCGGGCTGAGCCGCCTCCCTCCCCAGGACCACCGCGCCGCCGCCACCGCCAGCTTCGGCCGCTTCACGCTGTGGGGCCTGGAGGCCGTCCCCGGGCCGGACGCCCGAGTGCGCGGGGCGCTGGGCTGGCCCAGCCTGGCCGCGGCGGTGAGTGGACGCGGCGTCCCCGGGCGGGCTCCCCACGCGCGGCACGCGCAGGTGCGAGGGCGGCGTCTCCTCCCGCAGATCCACGCGCCCGTGGCCGAGGGCTGAGGACCCTGCTCGACGGAGAGCCTGCCGCCGCCGCCCGTCCTCCCCGCGAACAAGCCCTTCCCGCCCCGACGCCCGCCTGAGCCCGCCGAGGACCCGACGCCCGCCTGTCCCCGCCGAGGACCCGACGCCCCGACGCCCGCCTGTCCCCGCCGAGGACCCGACGCCCGCCTGACCCCTCCTGACCCCTCCGAGGACCCGACGCGCAGCCTGTGGCGAAGCATTTATTGCCTGGGGCGGGTGCAGCCGCCACCCGGACTTGGCACTCCGTGGTCCTCGGCCGGCCCCTCGGGGACCCTGCTTCAGGGCCGCCCGGCCTGCAGCCAGCTGGGCTCCAGCGACGCCGCCACGGCCCTGGGCTGGCCCTGCTGCCCGGTACCCCCGCGGCCCTGTCGCCGGCCAGGCTCTTCTCGGGCGCTGTCCTTAGCACCTCCCGGGCATGTCCCCGGGCAGGGCCTGGTCACCACTTGCCCCTCTTGCTCCAGTCCTTGGGGGTGAAGTGCAGACACTTGGAATCAATGCGAAGGAGCCGCTTGAGCATGGCCCGCTCGTGCCCGTCCACGATGTCCTCCGACAGCGTGAGGATGTACTGGCCCTGCACGGGAGGGGCCGGCGGCCAGAGGTCAGCCCGGCCCCGCCCACCCGGCCCCGCCCACCCCCCCGCCTGCCCGGCCCCGCCCACCCCGCTGCCCGGCCCCGCCCACCGCACCTGCCCCACCTTGTAGTAGTTGATGAGGTTGAGATACTGCAGCGTGGAGATGACGTCCTCCTTCTTGATGCTGGTGATCTCGCTGATCTCGCTGAGGGAGGCAGTGGGGCAGTGGGGCAGTGAGGAGCCGGCACAGGCCTCGCACCCCACCCTGGCCAGCTGGCAGGGCCACGCCATGCACCCCCCAGGGGGTGGGCTGGGCTCACTTGATGGTGATCTGCGGCCTCTCCCCGCTCTCAGACTTGAGTCCCATCAGGATCTCCAGGATGGTCTGGGACCAGTAGCTCCGATAGGATAGGAGGCCAAGGTCGGATAGGGGCTTCTCTGGGGTCCCTGTCTTCCCTTCGACCTTGGAGAGTTCGTAGCCTGTGGTAATGGAGAGACCAGGCTCAGAGCCACCCACAAGGACACCTGCACGGGTGGCTGCTGGGCTTGACACAGCAAGCTGTTGGGGGTGGCCCTGGTTGCCCAGCGTCCTGCCAGCCTGTGCAGCTGGCGGGAGGCAGGCTGAAGGGCTTGGGTCCTTGCCATCTGGGGAGCAGCACGTGGACAGCTCTGGCTGCTTTGGACAGCTGGGCTGTGACCCAGCAGGTCTCTTTCAATAAAGCAAACTTTGCAAAGACTGCAGCTGCTGACAAACTGCCTCCTGCCAAGCTGGCCCTGGCACCTGTGAGCTGTGTGACCCTGGCCGGTGCAGTGGCTGGTGGATGCTCAGGGAAAAAACATGCTCATGGGACCTGTGTCTGGGGGGCAGGGGGTGGGGGACCCCCACCCTTGGGGGTGTTTGCACTGTCTGCTGTGAGCAGGGCGCAGCAGGTCTCCTGCCACCAGAAGAGGGCTCTGGAAGGCATACTCTCTGGTAAGGCTTTTTTCTACTGTTAGAGCCCCGGGGCACCTGCTGGAAGTCCCTCCTTGCACTGGCCATAACCAACTCACAGTGGACTTGAGTGTGCCTGCTCTCCTGCCCTTGGTATCCCTGTTGGCCAGGCTGACCCTGTAGTGCAGCCTCCACAGCAAGGTGGGGAGGGCAGCGGGGGGGAACAGGTGTACTGGGCTCCTGCTGCAGGCAGTACAGCCCAGCAGGGGGCCATGCTTGGTGCCACTGCTGCCCCCCCCCCAATGGCACCCCAGGTGCAGCAGGTGGGCTAGATGTGGAAGAGTGGGGTGATATTCAGGATCCAGCTGAGATGGGTGGGACGTGTGAGAACCTGCTCCAGGAGGAGCAGGGAGCGCAGCAGTTACCCTACGAATGAGAGGGCCCATCTGGGTCCCTGGCCAGTTCCCCAGGTGGCTGTGCTGCACAGCCAGGGGAGGTTCTTGGGAGCCTGCAGTGCCTAGGGCAGGTGGCAGGTGCGCTGGGCCAGGCGGGCATGCACTCACTGAATTCAATCAGCAGTTTGCCATAGCCCCGGCGCTGGTAGGGAGGCAGGGTCAGGATGCAGGCCACGTTGTAGTCTTCTGTTGACTCCTTTTCCTGAAAGGGGGGGCAGGGCAGGTAAGGGGCAGCCACGGCTTCCAGCAGGGCTGAGGGCTGCAGGCTGGCCTGGGTGGGCACTGACCTTGGAGAAGTAGCCCACGATGTGGAAGCCCTTGCAGTCATACTCGGTCATGACGTAGAAGAGGAAGGGGTCTGTGTCATAGTACAGCGTCTTGTGGTCCAGGAAGCACTTGGCCAGCAGACACAGGTTCTGGGAGTAGCTCTGGAGGCAGCAGGAAGCGCTGCGCTGGGGCGGGAGCTCCCCTGCTCCCCCCAGCTACGGCCATGAGGCACGTGCTGCCTTGTGGGCCTTCAGCCTGCCTGTCACACCCGGCACTGTCCCCCCAGCTGATCACTCCTCTGCTGGGGTTCCACCATGGGGCAGCAAGGTCCCCAGCCCAGCAATTGGGGCTTTCCCCTCCACATGCAACTTCAGGAGAAACGCTGGTGACCCTGCAACTGGGCACAGCCATTCGGGCACCATGCGCCCACCTACTACAGAGCAGCACTTGGTCCAGCTCCCTGGCAAGCCTCATCCTGCACCCCAGCAGCCAGTGGTCAGCAGCCTGCCTCGTCCTCCAGGCTGCAGGACCAGGAGCCTCAAGGCCGGTGGATTGCTTAAGTATGCAGCCCTCCCCCTCCCCTGGCCCGGCCCTTCTGTGCTTTTCACACACATGGCCTCTCAAAACCGCACTGTGAGTACAGCCTTACCCACAGTACCCTGCGTGGGTCACTTCCTGGCAAAGCTTTTGCTGACCCCAAACTCGGGGTCTCTGTAACATGACACTTAACATACCAGGTCTTCTGGCGCTGCTAGCCACTGTGTCTCCCTCATGGAAGCTCCTGGAATATAGGCTCATCCCAGTACTGGCTGAGTGCCGCTGCCTGCCGAAGCCTGCCCCACAGCACCGAGTCAGTGACAATGGGCCAGGCCTGGGGCTGGCAGGGTGGCATAGCAGCTTAAGCTGTTTTCTGCAACACCCTACTTCCTGCTGTACTTGGAACCCTGTACCCATGTGGGAGACCTGGAGTAGCTAGTTTCTAGCTTTGGCCTCGTCCAGCCTGGGCCACTGTGGCCATCTGGGGAGCTAACCATGGGGCAGAAGCCCTCTCCGTAACTTACAGCCATCCTTCACATAAACAGCTGAACCTTTAAACAAAGGTGTGTGTAGAAGGCTGAACAAAGCCAGCTGCCCACCTGGAAGCCCTCTGACTGGACAGGCCAAGGTTTCCCTGCCCATCTGAAGCCCGCGCTCCCTGCCCCGAGATGCCACCCACCTTGTTTTTGCGCCCATCAATCTCGAAGAAGGAGATGGTGCCCTTGCGGTAGATCTCGTTGCCCGGGGGATGCCGGAGGTCACACTTGGTCTGGGGAAAGAGGGGCGGCTCAGCTGGGGCAGGGCAGGCAGCCGGGCCGGGGCGCTGGCCAGGACCCCAGCCTACCAAGTGGCGCTGCAGACACTTGAGGCTGCGGCCGTACTTGAGGCAGAACTCGCAGAGGTAGAGGACGGGCAGCGCCGTGAGCTCCTGCGGGTACGGGGAGAAGTACCAGGGCTTGAGGCGGTGCCGGCCTAGCTCGATGCACTCGATGTTCTTCATGCGCGTCACGATGTCGTCGTGGCTGCGGTCGGACACCAGGCTGCCGGTCATGCGCGGGGCGGATGGGATGCCGTCGGAGCTGTCCTGGGAGTCCTGCCAGGGCCGAGGAGGACAGCGAGTTACGGGAGACGGCCCACACCCCGACCGCACGAAGAGGTGCTGTCACCCCCGCTTTACTGAGACCAGTGGCCACAGCAGACCTTGACCCTTCCCCCAGGCCTCCCCTCGCCGGCCGAACCCCAAACACCACCTCATCCAGGCCTCCCCTCGCCGGCCGAGCCCCAAACACCACCTCATCCAGGCCTCCCCTCGCCGGCCGAGCCCCAGACCCACCTCATCCAGGCCTCCCCTCGCCGGCCGAGCCCCAGACCCACCTCATCCAGGCCTCCCCTCGCCGGCCGAGCCCCAGACCCACCTCATCCGTGCCCAAGCAGTTGGACTTGCGCTTCCGCCCTGGCTGAGCAGCCACTGCCCTCCGCGCAGACCCATTCTGCAGACAGGAGAACGGACAGAAGGGGGGTGGGGAGGTGAGACCGAGAGTGGTCACTGGGATGCAGGGAGAGGGTAGAGGGAGGCAGGGCGGGCCAGGGGGGCCTCACCTGGGGAAACACCGAGGCTGGGGCTGTCTCGCTGGGCACCGGCGTCGCTGGGGACACCACCTCCACTTTCCGTTTCTGCAGAGAGAAACCGAGACAGGTGGGTGAGATGGTAGGGAAGGTGGGACCTGAGAGAAAAGTGAGGTCCCTGGAATGGCGGAGGGTACCGTTGCGCGGTGGCTGGGCGGCAGGCAGGAGCTGGAGGAGAGCGGCTGGTCGGGCTCACCGCCGGCAACGGCCTCCCGCTCCTTGGGCAGGCTGAAGCGGAGCGTGATCTGGAGCGGGATGGGCAAGGTCTTCCCGCTGGCCTGGGCCGAGGCCGGCTGCAGAGACAGGTCCAGGGTCCGCTGCGGGAGACGAGGGGCCCCTCGGCCGGCCTGGACCAAACCCGCCCTCTGCCTTCTCAAGGCCGTGGGCCCAGCCGCTGCACCCCAGAGCCACATCTGCCACTTGGCGCCCATCCTTGGCCGGCGGAAGTGGGGGGGGGTGCTGCCTCCTGCCCATCCAGGAACCCCTTAGGCCAAGAGAGAAGAGGGGAGGTGGGAGGGCTACTCACCACCTCTCTCTCCGGAGACCCGGGGCGGGAGCCGGGGAGTCCGTTCTTGGTCGGCGTCTTGGCCTCCTTCTTGGGGAACTGGATCTTCTTTAGGTCCAGCCGTTCGTGGGTCACCCATT